GGTTTAAAAATGTATATGTCATAAACGTGTGTCTAAAAGTGACAGCAAAAGTTTAGGTCAAACTTATAACAAATTTCATTCAGCATCAAGAATGGTACATGGAAAAGTCGACGAGCTTTCTATGTAGCATTATCGATCGCAGAAATATAAAAACTGCATATAAAACCGTCAACTAATAGCAATCATAATATTATACGTATTTACTTTCGAGAGCTTCTAATGCGTCTCTCGTTCTTCCTCCAACTATAGTCGCTTTATTTTTCGCCAATTTCAAATAAAGATTAATTACAGAGATTAATTAAGAAAAGATTAATTAAGAAAATTGAAATAAATAAAAAAAAAGGATGGAAATACTTAAAAATCGGATAATTTCTTTTCACGGAATAATACCTTTTTATTAATACAATTAAGCTGCATCTAATGCACATTACGTTTTATCGAGAGACAAAAACAATTTTCCCCTGTAGAGAAAAGATCGATATTGTTGTTATTATTATTTCAATTCGCCACGTCTTTCTTGGTTACCGAGGCATATCCAATTTCACCGTTTTGAAACACGAGAGCGTAATTATCGAAGTCGATGCGCGAGTTACTCCCGATTGAGAAACTTGGAACTCAATTCGCCTTGTCATTATGAAGTACTTGTCCACCTCCGATGCGCAGGAGGAGTGCGAAGGGGGATTAACGCCGGAGAATGCATCGCCACGTGGTGGCACGTGGTAAATGCATCGTGGTGCACGGCGTGTCACCAATTAACCCTTTATAGCCGAAATTTCTGTACACGTTGTCCGGCCATAGGCGGACACAAGTATAAATTTCGCATGACCGCCAGCTGTGGAAATTTTCTTTATACTCGCACACTGTGTTTCGCGACAAAATGCGACGCTTTGCGGGATACCGCGGTACAGATAAATTCAGAGTTTCGCGATGAAACGATCATTGAGATACATGTATAAAAGGTTCTAAAGCGTAAATCTGCAAAAGATTTTTCTTTGTAAAAAATTAAAATCGTCACGGCGGGATGAAAATAAAACGCGGGGAACTTTGTGATATTTGTCACAGATATGTCATTAGTCAATAGTTTACAATGCACGGAATAATCAACGGCGTAAATAATCAGTTCACGGATCGTTCGAGCGATAAAAATAACTTTTCGATTAACGCTGAATTAAATCGCACGAAAGTGAGTTTTAGCGTTTCGTTACAAACGCGCGTATATATCGAAAAAGTTTAATATTTCTGTATTATATGTTTCAGTAACTGGCACGTGTTTCGACGGGTTTCGCGACCGTCGCAGTTGAAAGTTAATGTGATTCCGCTCTGAGACAGAACGTCCGTTTTTAATCGGCTCAACTTACTATTTCATTTTTCTCAATTACGGTGAAACAAGATATTTAATTACGACGAGAGAAAGACGTGTATTTTATTCTCCCACATTGCGTAAATTGTATCAGCGTTAAGTTAATTCTTTAGAATTCCGTTATAGGGAAAAACGCTGGAAGAAATGTCACGCGCGATCGGTATACTTGATCAATTTCTCTCGTCCGTAAAATTCAGATTCCCTTTCCTCCTGGCGAAATAATAGATTTACATTTTAATAGAATAAAACGAAATGTCTCTTTCTCTTTCTGAATACCTGATACCTACACCTCGCGACACGTCTCGTTCGCGCTTGCGTACGAGAGATCGTCGTGAGTCATCGGCTCGGCGTAAACTACGAGCGGAGCGGCTCATTGCGGGTATTCCCAAAAGCAAATCCGAGTCGTCGATGATACATTTCGTTCGCGTCGCATCGGCGGGGGATACGCCGGTAATACGCGTGCGAGGTGCAGGGATTTTAAAAACTATTCACCGGCGCGAGAAGTTCCGAGTGAGTGCGCTGACCGAACAAAGAGCAAGAACAATAAAATTTGCATAGACGTCGGATAAATAACGATGCAGAACGCGGGCTGTAAATCAACCATGTCCAGCGGCAGCAAAACGCTATATCGTCTATTATCGGGATATATCTATTCTCTCGCCCGTGCGCTGACACGACTCTAGTAACGACAAGAATTCTATCGTACCCCTTAAATTAATGGCGCGTCATGCGGCATTGCGTTGTGCGATATGCGTCTCAAGCGATCGCCGAAAGAACAAAGCTATCGATCTTGGAGTAATCAAGAGCGAGATAAGCGAAAGAACAACTAATATCGGCGCATTTATATCTCTTGTATCAATATTTACATAATGCGTGGCAATATACAGTATGATATATTGGTACAAAAAGTACACAAAGAATAAAAGCAAAATTTATCTTTCCTGTTTAAACTGCTGCCCCGGCAAATTTGCTTTAATATACAGAGAAAACAGAATATGTGCTTACTAAAGTTTAAATATAAAGAGTTACAGGGTGTAAACGCAAGAGAATTAAGCATATATGATAAGAGAGAGAGAGAGAGAGAGAGAGAGAGAGAGAGAGAGAAGTA